CCCCCGCTCAGACTCACCCCCCCGTGCCGTCAGAGATCTTGCCCTCCACGAAGCTGTAGATGTCCTGGAACTCCTGCTCCCTGCAGGGCAGAGACTCTGGGACCAGGGACACGTGGAGCCTGGTGGGGGGACACAAACACACAACAGACTGAGGTCTGGTTCTGGTGCAGGTCTGAGGCCGGTCCGGTTCTGTCTGAGGGGGTCTCACCTGATCCGGGCCTCCTCCAGGACGTTGGCGGGTCGTCGGGCTGGCAGAGACCTGCTGGGGATGCTGGGCGTGGCGTTCCGGGGGGTCCGTGGGGTTCCCGGTGTGGTCTGTGGAGACAGGTGAGACCAGGTGAGATCAGGAGAGACCAGGTGAGACCAGGTGAGACCGGGTCCAGCTGTTGTCCAGCTGAGAGATGCTCACCTTCCTCGGAGTCTTCCTCGGCGTGCGGGAGAAGGAGGAGGAGCTAGCTTTCTGTTTGGAATGAGGAGTTCGGGACCCCGCAGAGGAGAGGCGGCTCTTCTTCACTGCCCCCAGTCCTTCCTCCTCCTCCTCCTCCTCCTCCTCACTGCTGCTGCTCTGCAGCTCCTTCTTCGACAGAACAAACTCCTCTTCCTCTTCCTCAGAGCTCAGGCCCTGCTGGCCCTGCAGGAGGTTCCTGATGAGAAACAAACAGGTTCTGAGGACTGAACCCTGGACTCAGCTGGACCTGAGGAGTCCCACACCGAAGGGTCAAAGGTCAAAGGTCAGGGAGCTCTGCACTCACAGCTGCCTCCTGATGCGAGACAACACCTTCAGAGCAGACTTCCTCTTGGAGCTCCTGGAGGSTCCGCCCAGCGCCGGCTGAGGGGAGGTCTCATCTTCCTCCTCGGCTCTGAGGACATACAGGAAGTCAAATGAACCGGGTCRCAGCAGAACCAGAACCAGAACATGTTAACGTCATGGTGCCAACAGGACTTCAGCTCTTCAGACCTGCAGGGACAGACTCCACCAGTAGAGGGCAGCGCTGCACCACATGTTGAAACACTCCAACAAACTGGGTTTTTATTAGAATTAAATGTAAAGTTTTATTAAATGAAATGAATCTGTTTAG